GCTAACTTAGGCCTCAAAATGAACAGTTTGTGCTGCATATCAGATTCTACTTTTTAAATTTAGATGTTGGAGCTGAATATGCCCCAAAGCCATGGTTACTGAGATATGATTTAAATACATACAGTATAACTGTGAAAGATTACCTGGTTTTAAAAGGAAGGTTTTCTGGTTTTATCAAGTTTTTTAGCTTGCAAAGAGCAGATGTTTTTATTATAATTCTTGGCCAGGTCATCTGGTGCATGTGATAGACATTATCAGTTTATCAGGTTAAATCAATAAAAATGTTTCTCATTTGACTGAATTGTGTTTGTCCTCACTTTGGTTCAAAATACATTTCTCTTTTACTAACAGTACTTGATTAAAGAATATTGCCATATAGCAATAACATCGCATGTCCTATGATCAACATGTTCCAAAATTCCATTATTCTAAATAAAAGAAATTGAGGCGATACCAATAAAACACAATAAAAAGAGCACCGTGGCACTCAGCAGCATTCCACAGATTAGTACTACATTATGTCATTGAGATTTAATAATACAGTCCAGACAGTTCAGAGGCAAATAGCTTCATGCAATGGAAAATACAATTCTTCAGATTTGAAATGTGTTGGTTCTGTGACTCAACACAGCCTAAAAAAGTGGATAAAATGCTGTAGACGACCTCACTGAAGAAAATAATGCATATTGTGCTACTTATCAGATCTAATTGTGGACAGTATGAAAATATGTTTTCTACCACCTTTTTTCAGTCATTAGGTAAATCAGATGCTCTTTAATTTTCTTTCAATGGAGAATGAGGTCTTTTTCAAGATCTGACTGTCTGATTCTACACATCTGGTATCTCTTGCTTGCAGCCTTGGTGCTTTGGTAGTCGGTGTTGCCTTCTGGCGCAGATCCTAGTGAATTCCTTTGTGACAAAGCTGAGCATTTATTGCAATCTCAGCCTTCATTGCTATACCTTTGGCAGCGAGAGACTTCTCTTGAACAGGGTGAACACGCTGGAATTTTGTGATCTTTCCCCTAAAAGATACACATGCCTCCATGGCAGTTTTGCCTTTACTCCTCTGGTGTTTTTGTCTTACGGAAGACAGAGTTCAAGAGAATGTGGTGCAAGAGTGTACTCTAAGAGACCTGTAAGGGGCTGGGGTTCACTTTAAATTCAGATGCTTTGACACTTTTCAAACATTTTGCTTCCTGGCTTATGTCAAACAGCCCACTAATGTTATCTTTGAACTACTAATGAACTCTGTAAATTGCCAAACTACAGTACTTCAGGGGCAGATCTACTGTATGAACATAAGAAAAGCTGCAAATGAGAGGAGGCTATTCAGCCCATCTTGCTCTGTAGGTTGCTAGCATCTCAGTCACTCATGAATTCTGTTTACCACTTTCGTCGAGGATCCCATGGAGATAACGTCAACTACATGAATGGGGAGATAGTTCAGACACCCACCACCCACCACATAAAGAAATGTCTCCTGTTTTTGGACTTACCTATAAAACTTATTTTCCACTTTTATCAATGGATATTTGTCAGCAGGTGCTGGTCTTGAAAATGCCTGTGCATTTTCAGTGCATATTTCAGTGACAAAGCACTCTCTAATGTCCTTTCTCTAAAGACACGAAAAGGTGTTCAATTACAGTCCCATCCCATGCTATATGGTTGTTTTTCAAAGGTGGTTCTAGGGTTGATAAATTCTAGCTAATAAGACACTAACTAGAGTCGCCCTAGTTTGTAACACTCCTATAGATTGATAACAGGCACATATCAACAGCATGATTGCCTATTGCCTACCTGTGAGAATATTCCACCTTAAAATGTCAGGAAAAGGTTTCTCACTTTACAGGTGAGTCCCTCTACACAAATTATAATGATACACACTTCCATGTGTAAGAAACATTCTGTTGACATCTAGATAATGCATATCTGCTATCCAGAGCATGTGGAGTTCCACACAGCATTATTGCTCACAAATAAACAGTTTACAGGATAGGCAATATATTCTGTATGAGCCATGTGTGTAATGCATCAACACGTATCATTTTTCAGGAAACTGAAATAATGTTGTAAGAATATAAAGCATAATAAAAGATACTTGGTGTATTCCAATTATTAACATAGAAAATAAAATAGCATCATGAGTTGCCTATGCCCTGTGGAAAATGTTTCAATAAGGGGGGAAAGTTGTACTAGGCCCTTTGACTAGGGTCAAAAACATAAAGATCAAATCAAATCAAAATTAAAGGTTGGTACTGCAGATTAATTGAGGTAATAATTCAAAACTATCTTCAGCTTTCTACAAATGTTTAAGTGCTTCTCAGTTCCTCCAGCAAAGCCTCATTAAGCTTCATCTTCTAAGGACTGGTGATTGGTATTCTTAATCAAAAGATGTCTTTCAATAAGAGAATAATACGCCCAGTTTTCTTGGGAAATTCTATCAACAGATCATTTCTGTTTTGTCCTCCATCACATAAAACTGAAAAAATAAGGTACAGGTCTGGTGTCTCTTGAAATTCAAGTAGCTGTAGAAAAAAACATTTGTTTCTGGTTTTTGCACTGGCTTGTCACATTTAAATGGTGAGCTATTGAGCTCAGAGAAAAATGATCTCATGTTCAAAGTGCCCTGACTGACTTTTGATTTATGTTCACAAACATTTCCAGTCCTTGCCCGACCCCTCATGTAATCATCTTAGAAAGCCCCTCAGAGGTGGTCTGACATAACCAGCATCAGTGTCACTTGGGTCGTCATGGCAACACTCGTTTAAATTCCTGATCTCTAGGAGACTGCCACATATTTTGGAAGAAATGCAGCTGCACACTACAAAGTGAGAGACAAATAAGCAGATTCATTTATTTTCATACAGAAAATAAAAAGCTTCTTTATTCCTGCATAGCATATTGTATATCCAGAATTGTATATTTATTTTATTCAACATATATTTTATTATATATAAAATATATTTTGTTCAAGGTGGGTGATATATGAGATGATATTAGATATTTTGAAATAAATTAGAGAAGTCTATATGTTCAGCAGACATACATTGTAGTCTTGCTTCCGTTGCCCCTTAAAGAGCCCCCTGTGTTTAGGCTCATTCGTTTAAAGTTTTTTTTTTACAAAACGTGATCATGCTTTGGTTACTGTGGTGCATGTAGATTTGGGCTGAAGTGAAGAGAGAAAAGAAAGCACTCAATGTGTAACACCTTTGTGTTTTAAGGGGAGGGTGAGTCTTCTGCATTGCAAGAACTGCATTTTTTCTTATTGTTTGATTGTTATGAAATTTCAGTCTCCAACTACTACAAAATTAAAACCATATTGGAAGAATAGTAAAAAAAAGTAGTGCTGGAAATTTAAACCTGCTTTGAAAGCTCATCATAGTTCATTCTGGTTTCAAAGTTTGAGTACGGCACCCTCAAACTCTCAATATTTATTTTGAAACTGTGGGCATGACACGGTCATTCTGTCACTTTTTGGAATAAATCCACGTGAGATGATTTTAGTATTAACAGTAGTGATAATCCATTACATTTGTACTACTCTGTTCTTTAACAGTGTTTTTAAATGAGGTCATTTGTAAATACAAATGCTGTATGTTGTAAAAGAACCTTGATAATAATATTTGGTTATTGCCATGTGTATTCTTTCATTGTTTCATCATTTGACATTTGCTTTGGACAAGTATGCTTGTACATCTTACACACACATACTGTATGCAATCACTGCATAATAGTACACTTAATAATTAATGCAACTCTTAAAAATATGCCCTGTTGTCAGCAGTGATTTGAAGTTTACAGAGCAGAGGCTTTTACCATAATTGCTAGGACATGTCGGAGAGCTGTGATCCATGTCAGAGCCTGGGTCTAGGAGAAACTGAACATTTTCCAGATTAAAACTGATACCTTGCTATTCCTCCATTTTTTAATTCTTCTCTTACCATGTATTCTAAAAATTACAGGTTCTCACCAGGTGACATTTTATGTCTTGCAAGAAACTTCTGAATCAAGTTGTTATATAAAGAATATATTTTTCTTTACACTATTCAGTCTTTCAACTTTCCATTCATTTCCCCTTGTATTATTTGCACAGCATAAAAACATGTGCTGTAGATTATACTCTTATGCATACTTGTGTGTACAAGCATTAAATCTACAATTTATTGTTTTTCCTTATATTTCCAGAATAAATAATCTTTTATGGGAAAATATATGTGAAAAGTCTTTAAAGAGAGGATTTTGAACATTTGCTTGTATAGAAATGTTATTTAATTGAAAAAATAGAACATTTAAACATGCAGAGTGGAGGGAATTTTTGAGCCCACTCAGAGCCAGTGCTTTTGCATTTCATTTAACAAAACGATGCTCTAAGCAGGCAAGTGAAGCACACAGAAAGAATACAGCCTACACATGAAAACTAGCTGAATGACTCCACTGTACTCTATTGGAGGTCAAAGACTGTGCTCATGGCTGTGACATAATGATACAGAGACAGCCCATCTGAAGAGATACTGCACAGCTTCTGAATAACCCAGTTTTTTAAGTTATCTTCAAACACTTTTGCAGCAAAAGAAAGGTAAGGACCACCTTTTCAAAGCATTTGACCTTGTGAAGATAAGCCATTAAGCTGAATTGAACTTAGAGGTCTAGATTTATTTTTTTCAGGAATCTATAGATTACCTTCTATAGTGAATGAACAAGGCCAAACTACCTAATACCTCCATGGTGTGGGTGATGTTGTGCCAAATATTGTCCACAGAAATCAAGAAAAGACCTAAACTAAGGTCATGAGGTTTTGTACAGTGGTAGAGGGATATTTTAACATTGACCTTAGCCTACTAAAACTATTTCAGCACATGTCCTTTGCTTATTTTTTTCCATTCCTATTAACAGTATCTGTGGCTATGGATTATCAGTTAGATGGTCACATTAAAGCCTTAAAATGGAGAACATGAAGGCAAATACAAGGTTATTTTGCAACTTGTCTTCCAAGCACTAACCTTTCTGTGATTCAGGAAGGAAGGGCAACAGCCTGCTGCCTTTTCTGGGCTAGTTGTGGTGCTGCTTGCTGCTGCTGTTGGATCTCTTTTCAAAGTCCTCACATAAGTCACCTGTCTCTTTGTAACTCCATCTCTTCTTCTCGGATTCCCTGTGATGCCACCTTTCTCTGCTGAGGTCCTCTTGCCCTGGGCTTGGCGTGGGGGACCCTGTCTACCTTCAGCAGTTCGACCCCCCGAGAACAATGGCCAAGCCCATTCTCCCAAGTCAGTGTAGACCTGGATACAGACGAAAACTGCTGTGAAGAGAAGGCAGAGACGGAAGGCAAAAACTTTCCTCAGTTTGTCCTTGCTCATCCTGCTTCTCCCCGGCTGGTACTTTTAGTCTCTCAGCCTTTCCTTTGCTCCCCAATGAAAGGCTAGTTGTCCCATTCTTTCAGACTCCTACATTTCTCCCCAAACCCTCTGCTTAAGCTCAGTTCCACTCCTGCTGTTCCCTTTTTTTCTCGTAAAAGTGATGCCTGGGACTGCAGTGCTCTGTACCACCTGCCAGCAGAAGAGTGTTCCTGTTCAGTGAAGGACTACAGGAGAGAGAAAAGGACAAAATTGCTGCACTCATTGAGAAGTTTGGGAACTCCCTCTGTACCTCCCCTAGACGCCAATACAGACCCACCCTCCAACTCCAGCTGCTAGTGTAACTTTACACCAACTCTGTAGAGCGAGCTGATCAGATAGCAATACAGAGGCCCAGTAGGCAGCACTGTAACTGCTGGTGACAGCAGCACTTTCAAGACAAAAAGGTTGTTCTGAGAATGTTTCTCATATCTCTGCTGGTTACTCCTAAACTTTAAATTCAAAGACAGAGTTTAATTCCTATCTATACATAGTATATGTTAGTGAAATAAAGGAGAGCGCTTTTGAAATAGAAATTCCAGTGAGCTCAGTAATCCCGAAAAAGGGAATTTAAAAACTAATCATTCCAAGGTCCACAAGCAACAAATTAAACATGTTTGATTACTTAGATTGCAAAAACTAAACTGTGCATGTGAGGTTTTAAATTCAGGCATACTGAATGGAAAAAATACAGAATACTAAGGGAAGGAAGGAAAAGCAAATGTCTTGATTTAAATAGATTATAAATATTGGCAGGAAAGAAATTGGAAAGCTCTAAAATGATTAGTTTTGGGTGACATTTGCTGTAAGGATAATGTAATAGTGTGGCTGCATTACATTGACTGTGTTATTCATATCTCAATCTCTTAGCCATTTTAAAATTTAATTTCAACTGTAGTAAAAATTTAAATGGATTAGGAAATGGGGGAAAAAGACCCACTGATGTTTTCAAAATGAAAGGCTTGATTCTGAAATACGATGGTTCTAAAACAATGGCGTTTTAATAACAGCAAAATAATATTAAAAAATTCTAATTGTTACGTATAGATAAATTCAACATATAAAACCACATTTATTTGTCAATGAAAGATTCCTCATTCAGCCTATCAATATTAATATACATATCAGATATTATAGCGAAATAGATCATTTTAAAATAAAGATCTGTACACGTTTTTGTTATCATTTGTTTTTCATTTTTTAAAATAACCAATATATTAGTTATTAAGACATACATCACATATTAAATGTGCCTTATATTAGCTATATATACTAAATATTAATTCAGAGCATGCTGCAGATGGATTTCATGTTCTCTGTGACAGTTACAGTATGTATATTGCTCTAGAATAATGGCAATTTCTTCCCTCATGTCAGAAAGAAAGAGGATTATACTGCACCCCAGTGGAAGGTTCAAGTAAATGGATCCTTGTCAAAGATAAAAATTACTGTGGGTAAAAATCAACATTTAAATCATTAAAAAGGACTAGGTGGAATCTGTTCCTCCATAACTTCTCAGTTTCTCATTCTTTGGTTAAAAGGAGTCAATGTGCTCAGGATGTGAATTAGATAGCACAGAAATTAAAAGCTAAGTAAATTAAGCAATGAAAAGGGAAATATATAGACAAATTACAATTTTGTCTACCAGGTAATGATGTAGATGGTAATGTATTGTTACAAATCTTCAAAATATGTAGGATTCAGCAGGAATATAGAACTGAAATGATTGACACAAGGACTTGCAATGATGTATTGCTTTGAACGGTTAAACAAAGTTTTTAAAAGTGAAGCATGACAGTGGTTGCTGAGATTTAGAATAATTATTTAATATCTATTATTCGCTATTAACAGACAAATGTTGGCATAATTTAGCAGATTTTTTTAACATCTGGGACGGACTCAGGAGATGCTGCTAGTCAGGTAAAGAATTTCTATCACTCCATGTCCTTTTTCCTGGATATCTTGTTTCCTTGAACTTCAACTTGAATTTGGCTTGCATGTAAGGCATGTAAGTAGTAGAAATTAAATCCTAGGCTGTAAAGCACTTCAAATATGTTCAAATATGCCTAATACATAATAATGGTACAATTTGGTACACTTGCGGTGTTTGCATTTGTACAAAATGCATAATGTTTAAAATTGTAATTTTTCGTTAACATAATTCAATACACCAAATTAATAATGCCCAGCTCTTCCATTTTGCCAGTACCATACCCAAACAGAGGAAGCAAGTGTTCATTAAATTTATGAATAAAGCCTTAATGAAATGGTCTGTCCATTTATCATTCTATTTAGCCCTAGAAATGTTAAGCTTCTTCTTTTTACACATTACAGTATGGAGCATTGTGTATAAAGTTGTATACTTTAGAAATTAAATTAGATGTATTAAATATTTTCACCTTCAGAAAACATGTTGGAAGAATGTCCTGATTGTAAAAATGAAAAGGTCTCAAGATGAAAAGATGAAGGCAAAGCCTTTCATTGAAGGCAAGAAATGCCTTTCATTGCATTTTATAAAAATGAAGAATGATAAATATCACAATAGTGTTAACAATATGTTAGATATTAATGTTAACATTTCAACATAACTCCTAATATGCATCTTTGCACAAATAAGGAAAACAAATAATAGGTTTAGTCCATGCTGAAAAGAGAAGAGAGAAAACATGATGTTTCGGCTGTGAAGCCTTCTTCAGGTTTGCATGAATAATTCCAGTTGTTCATACTGTATATACAGGTAGACCTGGGGGAATGCAGGCAAAAGCCTTTTAATGACAGCTATTTTTTTGGCAGGTGTTGATCTATACAAATCATCTTGGACCCTTTTAAGTGATTACTGTTACTGTGTTTTTTCTATGCTGTCAGCCAGACAACCATAAAAACAAAGCAACTGCTTAAAGCTAAATTAAAGTCTTTATTTAAATAATACCATCACTAAACTCAAAACCAAGGCCTCTTGAATAAGCGGCTACAAAAGACATAGTATTGACATGCTCATCTCTATAGACAAGAGAATACAGATATAGTGGTGCACGCACACAACAGAAATGGAGACCAGAGACACCTACAGTAAAACACATAACGGCAAGTACAGTACATGCCTGCAACCCACAAATTATGTTATTCAATATAGGATTCAATATATGACCTGAAGATCTTATCGAGCCATTTCTTGAATTTAACCAGGGTATTGACTTCGGCACCATGGCTAAGTAGCTTGTTCCTTGCTCCCACAACTCTATGTGGAAAAATGTGCCTCGAGTTGTTATTTTTAAACACACTTCTATGAAGTCCCCTGGGTTGACTTTTTTTAAGCCTTCGAGGTTTCCTAATGCTTGAGTCAGCTGCCTTGTGATCTTTCTGTTTGGGGCTAAAAAGATTCACTTGTTTTTCCTAGTGTAGTAGAACGTTTACACCATTTAAAGTTAAAAAGATCTTCTTGTTAACATGGCGAACAAAGTTGTACACAATATTCTAAATGTCTTACAAGTGCATTGCAGAATTTTAATGTAACACCCCTGTATCTAGAATCTTGTGATTTTTATTATATATCCTGATATTTCTGACAAAAACAATACATCCAGAGATAACATGAATTAAAAAGTGGGAAAAATGTGACCAGCCAGAGATAGGTGCACAAATACACATACTGTATACTGTATATGTGTATTGTAATGTGGACTATTCAACTCATTCATGCATCAACCTGGCTTCACTTATTATGTTTCTCTACCTGAAATGAATCATCAATTTTTATGGTCAAAATAGCAGTGTGTAATTTTTAAGGAGCAATTATTAGAAAGGATGAACTAAGAATGGATTGTCTTTAAGCTGAGAATGTACAGTAGGTCAGTGCAATACAACCCAGCTCTCTTATTCCTTAGATACAAACCTAAAAACAAATACCATAGAACAGTCTGATTTTTTTCTGCAGCAGAAGCTTGTGTCAAGAGAAGATCTTTGTATATTAGCCTTTGTTCTTATTTAATGTGACACTTCATGGGAGCAGATGGCACATTTTTGTGGAATATCCTTGTTTCCATGGTGCAGTGTTGACTGTCAGCTGGTTTTTTTAGTGCTGAGAAGAGGAAGTGGCACCAGCAGGCCTTTGAGTATTAAAATCAGTGTCAGAATGTCACCGCAAAGGCTACTTGCAGTAAATATCCTAAACATTTACATTTTAAAAAGATGAATCTGTCATGAAATATTTCTTTTATGATACTGTTAAATTGCATTCTCCCCTTTTGTGATGTAGATTCAATGTACTTTTTTAAAACTCAAAATGCCAGTGGTTTCTTCCTAATTTTAAGCCATCAACACTTTTTTTCTTCTCAAATATTTAACATGGTAATTTTTACAAAAGCAAATATCACACTATTGAATGTAAGTGTAATTCTAAAAAGAAAAAAAAAAGATTAGGCAGAAACCTATGCACAGTACATGTTTCAGCAGTTTCACATCAAGAAGAACATATGTTTGTAAAGCCATGTAATTTCTACTGTATTTGTCACAGAAACAGCTAAAACAATATGGTTTTCACCTGGGAATGCTTACTGACACTGTGCTGTACTTCATGTACTGTATACAAAAGACAGTACACATGCTCCTTTAGATAATTTGTTTTCCAAAAAGAGGTGTGACGATATTCTACTGTTGTTAAAGTCAATGCTGCTTTGCACGGGACAATATTATTGCATATATAATGCAATATATTAATATATTAGGAAACATTGTTCACAAATTATTTATTGTTTTTAAACACATTTTAAACTCGTATAAATGCAATACTCATTGCATATATCTCGTATAAACTCAATTTTTTTTCTCTGTGGCGATAATAAGCTTCCGTAGTATTGATGAAGTTCGAATCTATTGTATATTTACAGTGCTCAGTATGTGCTCAGATTAGATAAGGAATTCACTTCAGCATTTTAGGAGGGAACGAATCTTCAGATTTCTCTTCAGTGGCTTACTGGAAAAGAGAACACATTTTATGGTCGGTCACAGTTAGAGAGCTAGTTAGAGTTTTTCAAACATGACAGGTAAAGCAGCCTGGAAAATCCAATAATAAAGACCACCAGGGTTACTACTGGTAAAATATAAGAGCAGATAGGACAGGTCAAATAAAATCATCCTACAGTAAAATCATCTGACACAGAGCATGTTGCATGAGCATGTCCTCCCCAGG